AGTGACATAGTCCTAACTAATACCAAGGTTTCAATCGGGGCTAGCTAGCGACGCTTAGCGAAGTCTGGAATCGAGACGAGTCCGACCTAGCGTCATTTAAGTTAGTCCCTTGCTACGCCATACACAGGACTAAACTGACTGTATTCCAATCCTGTCCAGTGAATACTAACGATGTCAAACAAACGCCCCCTAAATTTATTACTAAAGAAGTGCTACTATTCGCATCCATATATCTTATTTCTCCACCCACTTCGAATAAAATATTTTGGTTACAAAATTGCCCTCTTGCAAAATGACTTTAAACGACCTAAACAAAAGAATTTTGACAAAATAAGACCCAAAAAAAAAATCTATCTATAAATCATTATAATTTAATTTGAATATTAAATATAAAGAAAAAGTTTAGACAAAAAGGAGGAAGAATACTAGCAGAACTTTGCCCAAATCGTCCCCTACATCCCCTTCCATTCCTTTTCTTCTTCTTCCATATCCACCAAGACGACCACTGCTCAATATTGGTGCTTTATGCCATCCTCCACTTCTTTCGTGCGAAGATAAAACTTATAGCTAAAAGACCTACAACGAACACACGAACTCGTAACTTGCAAGCCAACCTCCTGCAGATCCGAGAAGACCCGCGTGACTCCGACTGAAACGTCTCGCCTTCTCCATACGCCGCCCACGCGACAGCTTCTCTCGTCCAAATCCAACCCATGACAACCTTCTCCAGCTGGGATCCAAAGGGAAATTTTCAAAATGCTATGAAGTCTCAAGCTTTTTTCAATATGATATCACCGAAAAAAAATTCCACTGATAAGGAGTACTAGACCACCCACCCAATTCATGATTTGTTTCACAAATCATGAGCAGATTAAAGGAAAATAAATTTTCGATTGTTATTTTTTTTATTTATTGTTAAGAATTTAAAATATTTAGGTTATTTCAGGAATAATGATGGGTGTAGATATAGTATCTCATTTTTTTACTTTTAATAGTGGGTGACAAAATAAGCAGGGTGGGGAGATAAGAAAAGGGGTGGACATAGTAGGCACTCGTTAGTGAATACTCTTATGTACTTAGGCAGTTGCCTATAATTTGAAGTATAAAACTTAGGCACTCATTAATGAATATTCTATGTACTCACCAATGAGTAATGAATACTCATAGTACTTACTCACTCGTTAGTGAATACTTTATAGGGGTGTGATATCCACACACCCCATTTTACTTCTCACACACATTTTTAATTTTTGGTTGTCGGATCAGATGAATTGAAAAAGATCAGCGGACATAAATTATCAAAGGGTGTGTGAGAAGTAAAATGAGATGTGTGAATAGCATACCCCTACTTTATATACTCACTAATGATTAATTAATGATAATTTCTTACATGACTTGTTAATCCAATTTGAAACAATACAAAAATAACGAGTTTTGGGTAAACACGTTAATTAATGGATCAGTTTCGAATTACTGCAATGAATTTTTTTCTTTAAAAGAAAAAATAATAGTAATCTCAACACTGATAAACTAAACGTGAAAAATAATAATAATCACAACCTCCCTAGTGGAATCATAGAGGAAAGAGAAATGGGTTACACAGTATAAGAAAATCAAAGGATGGCCATGAGATGTGTTTACTATCAATGTGGGCATTTCAGACACAATAGTTGGGTGTATAAAGAAGTATTAGTTTTACTAGAATAAAATATGGGTGTAGAGAGACAAATTATGCCATCTCTATTAGGCATTGATTGAACCTAAAGCATGCCTCAAGCTGCCATCTTATCAAGTTTCTGCTGGACCGATCGAGGTAGATGGTTTCAAAATTCAAGAAACTCCTTGAAGTATATGCGTACTAAGTACTCTATGGGATATAATATAGGGAACTTTAACGAAAAGCACCCGGTACTGTTCACTTTAACGAAAAACCACATTTTTACACTAAAAAGTCAATCCTGGTACTATTCACTTTACCCTTTATTTTGTCATTATCATTAAAACTCAAAGTTTTCAAGCCATTTTCATTAGTTTTCATACTCAATTAATGAGCCAATTTGTGCTACGTGTGTGTGTATAAACCCAAGGCTAGTTCGGGTGAGAATTTTGAATAGGGCTGTAAATTGGGCGGGTTGGACGGGTTAGATGGTCAACTAACCCCAACCCAAGCTTCTCAATTCAGGTTTGCGATGGGTTCGGGTTCATGCGGGTTTATTTGAGTTTGGGTTTAAATTGGTTTCGGGCTTACTCAGGTTGGGTTCGGTTCGTCCAAGTTTTTCGAGTCATTACAACACGGCATATGGGAGGGATTTAAAACCCCACATATTGTTAAATACACCTCATATAATTAATACACCCCACATTTGCTTTTTTAATTAAAATTTTGGGAAATTTTATTTAAACCCATGCAACCTCTTTTTACACCCAACTTAAAATTTTGAATGTTAATTTTCTATTTTACCGTATTGCATAATTACTATTAAGTACAAAATAAAATTAATAATAAAACTCAAATTTATCAATAAACCCAAACACTATAATTAAACCATACGATCATTCTTTGTTTATACTACGTTCATTCTGACTAAAACCCTAATAGCTCTCATAGAGAAAAATAAGTTTTTCTATTGATGGATGATGATTTTGAAGTTTTGAATCCTCCAACCAAGGTATGACTCAATTTATGATTTTTTTGTTCGTTCGATTTCAAATTTTTAGAGTTTAGAAGATGAGTATTTTGGTTATAATTCTACTTAGATAAAGGAAAGCTAAAGTAAGAATCTCGTGAACAAATATGGCAAACTACAGCTAAGATTTCTTGAACGAAATGATGAACTTACACCGTAGCAGAACCTATCGAGGAGGTATAAGCATGTGCCTTTCCTATCAGAATATGAGGATTGTTGTTCACCTGCTATATGGGACATGCCTTGGGTTTCATAGCAAACACGAAATTTACACAAGCTCGAAAATCTACTTAACAATAGTGAAAGTGGTACTTGGTTTTGAGAGAAACTACATCCTCATCTCCCACAAGATTTGAGACTTTGGCCATCACTTCTTTGGGGAATAATGAAGGATCCACATCTTGTTCAGCCCAACTGCCAAGCCAAAAAAATGAGAAGATCAGAACTTCCGAAATCAACAGATGAATTATGTGTCCACTCCTTGGAGTTTCTTAAACCAAATTTCCATGGATTTCTTGTTCTTTTTCGAATCGTAAAACGTCATAGGGTAGATAAGCAAGCCAACATAAGTTCCATACCCAGAAACACCATCAGCAATAGCAAGAACTCCCCCAGCGGTCTGCAAAGGCCATCCTATTGAATTGGGTGTAAAAATAAATTCACATATTGAATTGGGTTTATGGGGGTATATTAGGTATTAAATTTGGGTTTAAAGAGATATTAATAATTTAGTTAAAAATCAAATGGGTGCAAAGAGTAAGTTGGGTGTATAAATAAGTTAAATGGGTTTAAATAAAATTTCCCTAAAATTTATCTTAAAACACACCCCACATACTTACACAATACCCTCACATCCCATATTCTCAACATACAACTTACATTTTCCACATACATCCCACATTCTTCAAATCGTTGATGCAAACACATAAGGTCATCCAAAAGCACCATCGGTGTGATTCCGGAGTTTTTCTAATTTCTCTTTTGGAGTGATTTCAATACACTTTTGTCTGATGGTTGCCAAAGGCCGGAGTGAGTCCCGATCTCTTCTACTCCTATATGCCTTCATAGTGTTCTAAATACTATTGTCCTACGTCACTAATTAGTTATTATTAAGACGATGTGATGCCAACAATTGTTTGATCCCATTTGCTCCATGGAAAAAGGAGGAAGGCCGTGGGTATTCGGCATCACAAATTGAAGTGAAATGGTGGTTTAGGCTCTGCATAATGACTGAGAAGAGAAACAGTTGTTATCTAGGGATTGTATGATTCCAATTTAGGAGTTGTAAAATTAGGTAGTTTCATTATTAGAATTTAGAATTTAGGATTGTCAATTAATAAAATCTGTGTTTAGGGATGACAATTTAATCCGTCAAACTTGATCCCCGCAGGTAACCGATCCAAATGGTTCGGTTTTGGGGATCAAATTTCGAGTTTTTTACGGTTATGGATAACCGTTGGGTAAATTGCTTGGTTTCGGGTTCAGTTATGGTTATAGGGGTATCCACTCCGAACCCGTACCCGAACCCGCCCCGTTTTTATTTTCTAATAAAAATTATAAGATTTATTATTTATAATTTTTTATAAAAGAATGAAATCCCAAAAGTCTTGAAAACGTAGCTTCAGAGATGTGAAAGGGGCTTATTTGCAGCTAGGTCTTAGAACTTAAAAAAAAAAAATTAAAGAAAGGGGAAGGAGCGTTGGGGAAGAGGGGAGCGGCCAGAAAATAGAGAAGTACGAAGGAGGGGAGACGAATGGCAGGGAGCTTAGGGTTCGAAGTTTGAAGTCTACACACTACGGAAGAACTCAAAAGCTTTTAAAGTGTGCACACTACGTTTTCTGGAATTCATGCCTATACTAATCCAAGTAAATCATCTAAACATGCGGAGGACGGGAGGAGCCCAAGCAAATTCTAGATAATCTTCACAAAACCATAAAACAAAAATGAAAAATATATGGTATGTCTGGTAGGCATAACTGAATTTTTCTTGCTACACAACATATACCACTACAACAAAAATGAGCACTGCACACAATAAATTATTTGTGCCCTTTGAGGCCAAAAAGCACCAACAATTGTGCTCATAGACCAATAGCAACAGTACAGCTACTATCTTTGTGTCTGTGCCCTCTATGGGCGTCACCATTGCTCAGAGGGCACAATACTGAGTTCTGTGCTCATGATGTTTGCACAAATAAAGGGTGTGTTGTGCCTACGTTCTGACAAAGTTGTCAGACTACCATTTCCAGCCATGTTGGCACTTAAAATGTAATTGTGCCTGCATGAATTAAATATTAAAAAAAAAATCATAACTTGAAAAATTGAAACTGAAATTGAGGTTTTTTTTTTGTCATAAAATGTAGAAAGCCTACAATACATTCTCAATCTCACAAACATATATTGTAATGTTACATATTTAATCTCTAATGCAAAAAGAACTTGAAAGCAGACATTTTTGGATAGATGCATCTTCCCCAGCAAGCCTTGCACGTCATCGAATCTCTGCTGCTCCATAAACGAATTAATGAAGATGATCATCAAGAGAAGATCTTCCATTTCTGTTTAAGTATTCCTTCAAATAGTTTTTCCCTATCCTCCTACACAACAACATTAGTAAACACAATAATTTAATGATTATAGTAATGTAAAACAAGATAATTTTAATACATAAGAATAGAACCTCCAACAATATGCAATTGGAATATAAGTTTTTCCACTAAGAACATCACCGTACCTTGAAATTCTGGACATCAGTAAGTGGATAAGCAAGACAAAAGTTGATACTTACAACAATAAAAGTTGATAATTATCCTAAATAATGTCATTTTGGCCTACAAGAGATCGCAGACCAAGTCACATTTTCACCAAGGATGGGAAGTTCATGAGTTGGAGGGCAAACATATTTCATAGTGGTCAGAGAAAGTAAACTTCAGAAAGAAAAAGAAATGTGCAAGGTTTTGAAAGGATAGATGTACATATGTCTCACCTGGCTTGCAACAAGGAGAACTGCATTGGCATTTTCTTTCTTGTAATTTATCTAAATGTGTTTTTGTCCCATTGCAACCCGATCAATGTATGGCTTGGTATATTTCTTAGCTTCCTGCCATAACACAGAAATGCCATAAGAAAGAATTTCATCCACCAAATCCATATATTTAAAAAATTTCTCTTGAGGGGCTCACCTAAATGTAAGGATCTGCCATATTTTATGCCTTGAAAACAAGTGGTCATATAGAACTCTTTGATGAACGATATACATCAGCAGTTTTTGTAGTGACTAATCAAATGTTTGGTTCAAGATAGGCTTTAAATTCCAAAGACTGTTTCTTCAACCTTGGGATCCAGTTCTTCAAATTAAAAGAGGAAGAATTAGAAAGGTTGCCAACTTGGTTCAATATCTCAAATAGAAAAGTTGACTATACACTAATTGTTCAGAAAAGAGGAAGATGTCAAACACCAAAGCTGAGTTTAATGACTTCAGAATTTATTAGTAAGATAGGCTCTTGCTGCTTTATGCTCCTCTTCAGAACTCGAGTTTTGAAACTCAAATTTTGCCACCTGATCCCATAAAACACAACTCGTGTCTCACTTTGTATTTTGTATTATATGAAGAAGGGGATAACATACTGTTCTAATTCTTTCAACGATGATCCCAGCCCAACCCTTACCATGAGCTTTCATTTTTAAGGCCTGAGGACAAACAAATAAATGAATACTTGGCTATTCCAGTTTATTCACCTGGCAAGTGAAGATCTTTATTGGAGAAGTTTAACGAATAAAGTTTGGAATATCACAGACACACCTTTTCAATTCCCAGATTGAAGGTTGGTCTTACAAGCTCATTCCAGTAAGTCACAATGTACGTCTGCACATAAATACTTTGTCATGAAATTAGACTGACATTGTTATCCAACTAATCTGCGTGGATTTACCTGAAAATAGTCTACATGAACTCCAAATGTATGTGGAAGCCATCCTCCATGGACCTGATCATGAGTCACAGCAGGATTAAACTATTGGTAGTATGGTGAACTTAATTTTAAAGTACTTGTAAATGGTAACAAGAACATGATACGCTTCACTGTTATTCAAGCTTAAAAGTTTGCATATGATTAATAAGAGACGGGGCCATAACAGAGTCCACCTTTAGGCAATTGATAAATTTACTAATTGACTAGTCTCACTAAAAGAGGCAAAGACACAAGAATTAAACCTAAAGTGATAACAACAACAGCAGGCATTAGAAAATTATAGCATTACCATTTCCTTACCTCAGTCAAATCTTCAAATATCGAAGAAATCCCAAACTTCTCCTTCACCATTTCTTCCTGAGATATCAAAAAAACTAATACCATATAGCAAGCGATAGTTTCAGGTAGCAAATAAACGGACAACAAACCTCTGCAACTTGAAGATCATGTTCAGTTTTCCGAATTCCAGTCTTCTGTTCATCATTTACTTTTCGAAGCTGAAAAAGAATAGAAAGATTAAATTGGCCAATTAAATTACACTAAAGTCTACTTTTACAAAGAAATTTTGCACCCATGGAAAATTAAACTTGATTACAGATTGTCTAGTTGTATACACCATGTAGGACCTTGATCGCAGAACTCCACAATGAAGGGATATCTGATCTACAACTCCACAGATATTTAAAAGCTTTCAGAACTAATCAAAACAATTCAAAATAACATCAAATCCTAAGAGAAAACAACTTCTCTTAAAAACACGCGATTACTAAAAGAAATAATATTGTATATCCATGGCACCTGAACAACCAACACACGTTTACAAGTATACAATCGTACTTTAAAAATGAAAAGAGATAAAGATGAAAACACTAATCATCCTCTTCCTCTTCCTCTTCTCTTACCTCTCATTCTCTCCCTCCTCCTTCCAAGTCGCCGACTCCCAATTCGAAGGCTACGGCGACGAAATAAATGAGGACAACGACGACTACTCCTCACTCCCTCTTCCGACTCGCACCCGCCTTTTCCTCACCACCGCCTCCTAACCCAACTCACCTTCTGATCTCTCCCTACCAGACCCGATTCCGAACCCGATTCCTGATTCGAACTCATCATGCATCCATCTTCCCAAACCTTCCTTCACCAGCTTCATGTATTGGGATGAAGATGAGTTCAAATACCTCCCACTCGAACCCTAGAAACTGCCCTTCGATGACCCCTCAGTTACCAAAGCTGCAATTACCTCCTCCGATTCTGATTCCGAACACTCCGCCGATCCCAACCCCCCGCCGCTCCGAGATCCTTTCTTGTGGAGATCGTGTGCGCAGGGTTCCTACCAAGGTTTTCTGGCGACGATGGAACTCAAGAGCCTCCCCGATTTGATTTGGGGAAGTTAGTGAGAGAAAGGGGGTTGGAGAGAGAGAGAGAGAGAGAGAGAGAGAGAGAGAGTCTAAAGGAGGCAGAGAGAGATGAGAGAACGAGAATGAGGGGTGCGGTGTGGGTGGGTTAAGGGGAGAGAGGGAAAATGGGGTGTGGGCCATAAGTTTATGACAAATAATAAAAAACAAATAATTGTGCCCTTAGATGTAAAATATAGGCACAATAATATATTTGAGTTCATTTTTTTAAACAAAGTTGTCATAAAATGTGTTTGTGTCCATTTCTTTTGATATTGGGCACAATATGTAGTGTCCTTTATTGAATGGGCACTGTTTTAATCTTTTTGTGTTGAAAGACACACAAATCCCTCAATTGTGTCCATAATTTTGTGCCCAAAGGCCATTTTTGTTGTAGTGTACGTATACATAAATATAGTCATAAAATATTGAGCCAATCACACAAATTTTCTGACAACTGATTCCCAGCACAACATCAATGGGTAGCTTAGGCCATCTAGACATACTGGACATACTGCCTCAATTCACTCTACAAACATCAAATTTCAATTCAACAATTCAGTGACAGCTGCTTGATCAGTTAATTGGCTTGAAATACAAGCTCCAAGGAAAATGAAAGAAAGATATTCCGTTTGGTAGTTACTGAAGTGAAACGTCGATGCATATCATATTCCTTTCCCAAAGTATGGCCTCAGTTAACCTAGCTACCATCCAAATGGAGCCATGCAAACAAATGAAAGTGTACTATATAAAAACCTAAAGCGTACCTCGAGATGCCCTCTTATCAAGTTCCTCCTGGAACGATTGAGGCAGACGGTTTCCACAACTCTTGATGCTTCTGCCTCGCTATCTGTTTGTAGTTTGGAATTCCATCTTAATGTTAAATACAAATACAAAATAATTAAATATATATATAAAACATTAAGACAATTAAACAACTGCGTAGTCAGCAAACATATTTCCAACACAGAGTAATTAAGCTAACACACCAATTTACGCATACACTAATCTATGTAATTCATCTAAACATGAGGAAAAGCCAAAGCAAATTTCAAATAATCTTCACCAAACCATAAAAGAAAAATGAAAAACTATGTTAGTATAGCAGGCACAACTGAATTTTTCTTGCCACACAATAGAAACATAGTCATAAACTATTGAGCCAATTCCACAAATTTTCGGGCAACTGATTCCCAGCATATGGCAACGGGTAGCTTAGGCCAGCTAGGCATCCAAATGGACTCAATTAACCTACCATCCAAATGGAGCCAGGCAAACAAAAAGTTGTACTATATTAAAAATCTAAAGCAATCACTTAGTATTATAGTTTAGTGGTATTCTTCTTCACTTATAATTGAGAGATCTTAGGTTCGATTGAACCACATTATTGGTAGCCCATTGTGACGCTAAGGCCACTTCCTCCCGCTTACTGTGGATAATGTCATTTGTTCAAATAGAAAGAAGAAAAAGAAAAAACCTAAAGCATACCTCGAGCTGCCATCTTATCAAGTTTCTCCCGGACCGATCGAGGTAGATGGTTTCAAACTTCAAACTCCTTGAAGTACATGCGTACTATGTACTCTTTGGAGATATAACCAATTTGTGCTACGTGTGTCGGGAGAATGAGAGAGGGGGTCGGGAGGGAAGACGCCCAATTATTATTTTTTTTAATTTTTTAACATTTTTAATATTCACGTGGACCTCATATTGACACGTGGCATCCAATCATTATCCATGTGGGCGCCACGGAGAGACTTGACAGCCAGACTAACGGATTTACACTTTAGGTATTACTCTAGGACGGAAAAATTTCATGTACCAAATTTTGAAAACCACAAAACTTGAGGATAGTAAACTGAAATTTACCTATATATATATAAACCTAAGGCCAGTTCAGGTGAGGGTTTTGAATAGGGATGCAAATCGGGCGGGTTGGACGGGTTAGATGGCCAACCAATCCTAATCCAAGCTTCTTAATTCGGGTTTGCGATGGGTTTAGGTTCATGCAAGTTTATTTGAGTTTGGGTTTAAATTGGTTTCAGGCCTACTCAGGTTGGGTTCGGTTCGTCCAATTTTTTTGAGTCATTACAACTACGGGTGCAACTTGGGTGTAATATAAGCACTAGTGTATATGGGCTACAATCAGGTTAGATTGCATTCGGTTAAATGGGTTGGGTTGGACATGGACGGACAAATAATCAACCCAACTGAACCCAATCAATAAACGGGTTGAAATTGGGTTGGGTTCGGACATGTTTTAACTAAAAAAAATCCGCTTGTTTAGGTTCAAAATTGAATTGGACGTGAATGGGTTTGAATTGGCCTCACCCATGTTGCACCCCTAATTACAACACGGCATATGGGAGGGATTAGTTAATTACATGCCTTTAATATTTTGTGATTTCCTAATCCCTCCTATCAATATTTTGCGATCATTTTCCTTATAACTTGGTTTTCAATCCCATGACTTACAAAAGCCCCAATCCAAACATAACTTAAACCTAAAATTAAAAAGAAGCTAAGAATCACGCAGCAAAATGGGTTGGGTTGAAGATCACACGATTCGTGTTCGGAGACGGTCTCGGGGCAAACGGGACGGATGAAGGCATGATCGAGAAAAGAGTGAGAGCGCAAGCCATGGGATCTGAGCCGAGGAGAAGTCGTGCGTCGAAGAGAAAGAGAGATTCCGTTTTGTCAAATAGAAGAGACTGTGGCCTGTTTTGTTAGGGAAACATACCCATTTTCTAAACGGATTTATAAACGCAAACAAAATGCTTCCAATTTAGGAGTTGTAAAATTAGTTAATTTCATAATTAGAATTTAGACTTTAGGATTGTCAATTACTACAACCTGTGTTATACAAGATTCAATTTGTATCATGGATATTAGAGATTCGTGGTTTAATCAAGTCAAGTTCATTCATACGACGAAATCGGCTACAAAATTGGTTGATCCTCAATGAATTATTAGTTTCACCAGAACAAAATGTGGGTGTAGAGAGACAAATTATGCCATCTCTATTAGGCATTGATCGAACCCACCAACGAATCACTCTGGTGAGCAATTATTTCCGACTTCATCACACCGGCCGGCCAAAGGTGTCTTGTAATCATTCCAGAATCCAAACTAGACAACCGCAATATAGATATATATAGGTACCAGGAAGTGGTACTTTATAGTAAGACGAGTTCTACAAGACATAACACTACAGTGAGTGATGACACTTGTAAATATCTTGAACATAAATTATGACATAATTAATACAAGAAGTTCGAGATGACATAACACAACATAACGACTGGGACAAGTTCTATTAGACATAACACTACATAACGAGCGTGACAAGTTCTAGAAGACATAAGCAACAAACTTTCCTTCGTATCAAATTTCGTAGCCAAAGCGCGTTCTCAGCCATTCATCAATATCCTCAGGCTTCGTAGACTTTCCATCATATGAAATTCCATCACTTGGTGGTAGTCCAAGAATGATAATAGCTTCTTCAGAATCATCTTCGATTGCAACAACATCCTCAATGGGAATAGCCTCTTGTTCTTTTCCTTTGTCTTCTTTTTTGAACTTGAATTTGTCAGGGACGTCTATGCCTAGTAAATGGTGGTGGCCAAAGTCGCCTGTTCGTTTATGATCCCATTGCAAAATCGTATCAAGGCCCATAACGTAGGCAGAAATGAAATAATATATAAAACATTAGGACAATTACACAACTACGTACTCAGTGAACATATTCCCAGCACAAAGGGTAATTAACGAATTCATGCCTATACTAATCCAAGTAAATCATCTAAACATGCGGAGGACGGGAGGAGCCCAAGCAAATTCTAGATAATCTTCACAAAACCATAAAACAAAAATGAAAAATATATGGTATGTATAGTAGGCATAACTGAATTTTTCTTGCTACACAACATATATGTATACATAAATATAGTCATAAAATATTGAGCCAATCACACAAATTTTCTGACAACTGATTCCCAGCACAACATCATGGGTAGCTTAGGCCATCTAGACATACTGGACATACTGCCTCAATTCACTCTACAAACATCAAATTTCAATTCAACAATTCAGTTACAGCTGCTTGATCAGTTAATTGGCTTGAAATACAAGCTCCAAGGAAAATGAAAGAAAGATATTCCGTTTGGTAGTTACTGAAGTGAAACGTCGATGCATATTATATTCCTTTCCAAAAGTATGGCCTCAATTAACCCAGCTACCATCCAAATGGAGCCATGCAAACAAATGAGAGTGTACTATATAAAAACCTAAAGCGTACCTCGAGCTGCCCTCTCATCAAGTTCCTCCTGGAACGATTGAGGCAGACGGGTTCCACAACTCTTTGATGCTTCTGCCTCGCTATCTGTTTGCAGTTTGGAATTCCATCTTAATGTTAAATACAAATACAAAATAATTAAATATATATATATATATATATATATATATATATATATATATATATAACATTAAGACAATTACACAACTGCGTAGTCAGCAAACATATTTCCAACGCAAAGAGTAATTAAGCTAACACACCAATTTATGCATACACTAATCTATGTAATTCATCTAAACATGCGGAAAAGCCAAAGCAAATTTCAAATAATCTTCACCAAACCATAAAAGAAAAATGAAAAACTATGTTAGTATAGCAGGCACACCTGAATTTTTCTTGCCACACAACAGAAACATAGTCATAAACTATTGAGCCAATTCCACAAATTTTCGGGCAACTGATTCCCAGCATAATAGCAACGGGTAGCTTAGGCCAGCTAGGCATCCAAATGGACTCAATTAACCTACCATCCAAATGGAGCCACGCAAACAAAAAGTTGTACTATATTAAAAATCTAAAGCAGTCACTTAGTACTATAGTTTAGTGGTATTCTTCTTCACTTATAACTGAGAGGTCTTAGGTTCGATTGAACCACATTATTGGTAGCCTATTGTGATGCTAAGACCACTCTCTCTTGCTTACTGTAGATAATATCATTTGTTCAAATAGAAAGAAGGAAAAGAAAAAACCTAAAGCATACCTCGAGCTGCCATCTTATCAAGTTTCTCCCGGACCAATCGACGTAGATGGTTTCAAAATTCAAGAAACTCCTTGAAGTACATGCGTACTATGTACTCTTTGGAGATATAAACACTCAATTAATGAGCCAATTTGTGCTACGTGTGTGCATACACACACACACACACATATATATATATATAAACCTAAGGTTAGTTAGGGTGAGGGTTTTGAATAGGGGTGCAAATTGGGCAGGTTGGACGAGTTAGATGGCCAACCAATCCTAACCCAAGCTTCTTAATTTGGGTTTGCGATGGGTTCAAGTTCATGCGAGTTTATTTGAGTTTGGGTTTACATTGGTTTTAGGCTTACTCAGGTTCGGTTCGGTTCGCCTAACTTTTTCAAGTCATTACAGCTACGGGTGCAAGTGCCTTCGTCCATGAGCGGTAGGTCTCGGGTTCGAGACTTGGGAGCAACCTCTCCATAAATGGGGGTAAGGCTAGCCGACATTCACCTCTCCCAAATCCTGCGTAAAGTGGGAGTCTTGTGCACTGAGTACGACCTACAGCTACGGGTGCAACTCGGGCAGGATGGAAGATCAACCCATTCCTTGGGTATAATATAAGCACTAGTGTATATGGGCTACAATCAGGTTAGATTGCATTCGGTTAATTGGGTTGGATTGGGGATGGACGGACAAATGATCAACCCAATCAATGAACGGTGGGTTTTAACTAAAAAAAAATTCCTCTTGTTCAGGTTCAAAATTGAATTGGACATGAATGGGTTTGGATTGACCCCACCCATGTTGCACCCTTAATTACAACACGGCATATGGGAGGGATTAGTTAATTACATGCCTTCAATATTTTGTGATTTCCTAATCTCTCCTATCAATCCCATGACTTACAAAAGCCCCAATCCAAACATAACTTAAACCTAAAATTAAAACGAAGATAAGAATCACGCAGCAAAATAGGTTATGAATCCAAACCCTAACCCTAGATATAAATAAGGAGCATACCATATGGAGTCGCGGCCACTCTGCGGTTCACGGGAATGGAGAGTACGCGCTGGCGGATCACGGGAACGGAGAGTACGCGCTGGCGGATCACGGGAACAGAGTGTGCGCAGCGGAAGATCACACGATTCGGGTTCGGAGACGGTCTCGGGGCAAACGGGACGGATGAAGGCATGATCGAGAAAAGAGTGAGAGCGGAATCCATGGGATCTGAGCCGAGGAGAAGTCGTGCGTCGAAGAGAAAGAGAGATTCCGTTTTGTCAAATAGAAGAGATTGTGGCCTGTTTTGTTCGGGAAACATACCCATTTTCTAAACGGATTTATAAACGCAAACAAAATGCTTCCAATTTAGGAGTTGTAAAATTAGTTAATTTCATAATTAGAATTTAGACTTTAGGATTGTCAATTAATACAACCTGTGTTATACGAGATTCAATTGTATCATGTTGTTGTTGGATATTAGAGATTCGTGGTTTAATCAAGTCAAGTTCGTTCATACGATGAAATCGGCTACAAAATTGGTTGATCCTCAATGAATTATTAGTTTCACCATAACAAAATATGGGTGTAGAGAGACAAATTATGCCATCTCTATTAGGCATTGATCGAACCCACCAGCGAGTCACTCCGGTGAGCAATTTATTTCCGACTTCATCACACCGGCCGGCCAAAGGTGTCTTGTAATCATTCCAGAATCCAAACTAAACAACCGCAATATAGAGATAATATAGATATATAGATATAGATATATATATATATATATATGTACACACACACCAGCACTTTTGTAGTAAGATGAGTTCTACAAGACATAACACTACAATGAGTGATGACACTTGTACATTTCTTGAACATAAATAATAACATAATTAATACGACAAGTTCCAGATGACATAGCACTACACAACGACCGGAACAAATTCTAGAAGACATAACACTAGATAAGCAACAAACTTTCCTTCCTATCAAATTTTGTCGCCAAAGCTTTAGCCCCATTCTCACCCATTCCGCAATATCCTCAGGCTTCGTAGAGTTTCCATCATATGGAATTCCACCACTTGGTGGTTCAAAGTCATCATCATCGTCTTCACTAGTCATCATCTTCGATTATAATTCCATCCTCAATGGGAATAGACTTTTGTTCTTTTCCTTCGTCTTCTTTTTGAACTTGAATTTGTCAGGGACGTCTATCCCTAGTAAATAGTGGTAGCTAAAGTTATGATCCCATTGCAAAATCATATCAAGGCCCATCAAGTAGGCAGAAATGAAAGACAATTACACAACGACATACTCGGTGAATATATTCCTAGCACAAAAGGGTAATTAACGAATTCATGCGTAAACTAATATGAGTAAATCATCTAAATATGCGGAGGACGGGAGGCCGCCCAAGCAAATTCCAGAAAATCTTCACGAAACCATAAAACTAAAAAGGAAAACAAACTTTATATATAGTAGGCACAAGTAAACTTTTCTTGCTGCACAACATATATGTATACATAAATATAGTCATAAACTATTGAGCCAATTACACAAATTTTTCTGGCAACTGACTCCCAGCACAACATGAACGGGTAGCTTAGGCAATCTAGACATACTGACTCAATTCTATTCAACAATTCAGTTAGAAAGAAAGAAAGATATTCCATTTAGTAGTTATTGAAGTGAAACGTCGATGCATATTGTATTCCTTCCCCAAACTAATGACTTAATTAACCTACCACCCAAATGGAGCCTTGCAAACAAATGAAATTGTACTATATAGAAACCTCAAGCATACCTCGAGCTGCCCTCTCATCAAGTTTCTCCTGGAACGATCGAGGCAGACGGTTTCCATGACTCTTTGATGCTTCTGACTTGCTATCTGCTTGCAGTTTGCAATTCCATTTTAATGTCAAATACAAACTAAACAAAAAATGAAAGAAAAGAAGAGGAGATAACGACATCGACAAGCCAAAAAACTCAGTGCACATGGGATAAATATTGAGATGCTTATTGGTAATCTAGAAGTTATACCACCAACCTGCTTAATTGCCTTGTGGTTTTAGCATCCCAGTTAGTTTTTATAAAATTCGTCTTTTAAAAGTTTACGAAAACTCCTTGAAATACATACGTGCTAAGGACTCGGAGATATATGATGAGAAATTATACTCAATCAACGAACCAATTTGCACTACATTTACACATAAACCCTAAAGCTAAAAGTTAAAAGAAGCTGAGAATTAAGCAACCTGGATCATAAACCCTAACCCTAAATATCAAAAGTAGCATACCATAGGTCCATAGGGAGTCAATGCCTCTTTTTTATTCTCCCACTGGCCGCATGATTCCGACCCGAGTGCGAGGCGGATCACGGGAACGGAGTGTATGCGGCGGAAGATCACGCCATTCGAGTTCGGAAACGGTCTCGCGGCGAATGGGACGGATGAAGGCATGGTCCAGCGGAGAGTGAAAGTGTGATCCATGATTTCCGTTTTGTCAAATCGAAGAGAAGTCAGGAGATTGTGGCCTGTTTAGTTACACTAGGTTTGGACGGAGAATTATTTAATTTTTAAAAAAGGAAAACTAATGAAAATGATTTGAAAACTTTGAGTTTTAATGATAAGGACAAAATAAAGGGTAAAGTGAATAGTACCAGAATTGACTTTTTAGTGTAAAAATGTGGTTTTTCGTTAAAGTGAACAGTACCGGGTGCTTTTCGTTAAAGTTCCCTTTTAAAAACCCTGCTTTTCTTGGATTTATTTATTTATTTATTTTATAAACTGGAAGTTACCCTTAAATTGATGGGAATTGCAATTCTTTTTTTTTAACAAATGATATTATCTCTCAAATTCGCCTTTGACAAGAATCGAACCTAAAACCAAATCGCTTTTGGTGAGAATTGGTGAGAATCGAACCTAAGACCTCTTAATACTTGTAACGACCCGTCCCCAATTATTATGATTTTTATAATTTTAAAAGGTTAATTTACGAAAATGCCCTTCGAGACAAAGTGTTGACTTTTGTTGACTGCCTTGTCAAGTTACGTAAGATTCGGCGTATCTTCTTAGTACTCGTTGCTACGGACGCATGGGCGCAAACGGATCATGATTTGGAGTTATAACAAATAAAATATTAACGTTTAAAGTTGGGGGCATTTTAGTAAATTGGTTATTTTCTAGAAATCTCCAGATTTTTGGAGTTCAATATGGAAAGTCACGTGTGTGGCCCAGATTTAAAGGCAGAAAGGATGGGCGGTGGAGATGGAGTATAAAGGAAAAAAAAAGAGGGAGGAACCGGACTAATCAGAAAAGATGAGATGAGAGGGTGACCAATCAGAGAAGAGAGAAATGAGGGAAAGGAAGGAGGGAGAAGGAGAGAACTGGCCAAACCCAGTTTCTCCACCTGACCTGCCAACTTGACCCGCTCATATTTCCTTTGTACGAACTTCGTTTTGGGTGATCTTGGTGTCTATGGAAAGCCCTTGACAAGCACTACATCTCTGTAGTGTTAGATTTCCAAATTTCTTACACAAATTCACAAATCGAAGCCATAAACCCACAGGGGCATCCGACAGTTTTTATCCTTTTTTCGGTGACTCCGGCGAGTTTCAGCGTTGATGATCACCACCAAAAGACTCATCTCAACCCCAGGAGCAAAACCTAAGCTTTGGTGTAGGCATCGGAGTTCATTTTGGTGGCGAATCAACAACTACCCAATTTTAAAAGCAGTTCCACCGGAGTTGGAATAGCCCAGCACCCAGTCAAAAAACTAGGCTGGTACCTTGTCAATTCATTCCAGCCCAGCAACTTGCCTGACACCCAGCTCAAGCTGGTCTTTGGGCCAGCCCAAAATTGACTGACCAATGAGCCAGGCTATTTGGCTGGCGCATGCAGCTCACTCGCAAGTGCGCGTGAGTAGGGGACAAGGGTGCAGGCGGTGGGCCCCGCTGTCAGCCCACTTGTCCTTCACTCGGAATGAGGCGACTTGGCCCTCTCAATGCTGTTGGATTTCCAACGACTAGTTTTTGTAGACCGTTGGATTTCCAACGGTAAAAAAATTTAAATTTGACTTTTAAAATGGACAGTCCAATCACAAATCAACGGTCCACATTTTTTTCACCAAAAATAAAAATAAAAAAAAGGCCCAATTATGACCGTTGGCCACATGGCAGTGCCTTGGCTCTTGGATTTGAATATTTTTCAAATCCAACGGTCCAGATTAATTAACTATATTAAACTTTATTAAAAATTATGAAAAATACATAAAAATTATTTAAAAATACATAATTTTTTTTTAAATACAGAAAATTAAAATAAGCTTGTGTAATTTTATTTTAATGTGTTAGATGAGTTTATGTAATTTTATTTTAGTGTGTTTTTTTTTTAGTTTATTTGATGAGTTTATGTAATTTTATTTTAGTGTTTTTTTTTTTAAGTTTATTTGATGAGTATGTATGTGACATCCCATATTGCTCAGGGGAGTGATCCTTAAATATATATTCTCATCCTTACCTAGCACGAGGCTTTTTGGAAGCTCACTGACTTCGGGTTCCGTAGGAACTCTGAAGTTAAGCGAGAAGGAGGCCAGAGCACTCCCAGGATGGGTGACCCACTGGGAAGTTGCTCATGAGTTCCCAATAACAAAACCATGAGGGAATGGTAAGCCCAAAACGGACAATATCGTGCTACGGTGGTAGAGCCGGCCCGGGATGTGGTGGACACGGGCCAGATGTGACAATGTAATTTTATTTTAGTTTGTTTTTTTTAAGTTTATTTAAAATTTTATCCAAAAATTGGTTAAAAATCTTATCCGAAAATAAAACTAATTTTTTATTTATTCTTTTAAAAAATATAAAAAATGGGCTAGGTGCCAGCGCATTTTATAAGGGTGGAGATCGTTTGTGCCAGCGTGACACACCCCAACCTGGGAAGGTCGAAGCATGCTGGCCATCACTGAGAGGTGACGTAACCCACTACAATTATTCATAGTGTAATAGACAGTGAGACTATAGGAGAGTAGTAAAAGTAACTAAGTACACTTATTACACAATAGTGATAAGTTCGTATGTCTAAACAGAAGAGAATGTCAGAACTGCCAAGATTCCTTGAGTGCCACAAAGAGTGCAGTTATCTAAGACCTGAAGGAGCGAAAAACAAAGTTAAGTGGGTCAACAAAACAATGCTTATACGAAATCCTTTATTTTCGAATATAATAACCCCTCGCCGTAAAACAAGTATAGTTTCCTTGAAACGTACTATGGAAGTATGTAACCAATAATACAACAGCATTATAATCGTATTTTAACCAGAAACATGCCAAGTCATGATGTATTAAATGCCACAATAATATAATTATGTGATAATCAAGTACAG